CTTTTGAGGTTTTGTGTAAACTTTTTTTTTTTTTTTTTGTTTACTAATTTTTAAACGTTTTTTAACTTTTTTTAAAAACTTACAATTACTTCTGATTTTGCTTATTTCTATATAGTTTTAATTTCTATTCTCAAAGATTCTATATAAGATTCCATATAAGATAATATTAGTTTAGATTTTTTAATTCAAAGTCTAAACAAATAGTAAACAAAATAACTTTAAAAAAAACTTTGATACTTATATTGATATCTTATTTTATAAGAAAATCTAATAAAAATTATAATAATATAATAAAAACAATTCTTTAACAAATTAATATAAAATTAAAAAACAATTGAATTTATAAGGCAACACTAATAAAATGGTATGCTTATTAAAAAATTAAAAATAAATCCTAATATAAATATTTATTCTCTAAAAACAAATTTTCAAATTATATTAAAAAAATTTTTTAACGTTTATTACCTCCTAAGGCCGAAAAAATTTTAAATTGTTTTAGGCACCTTCTTTCGAAAAAAAAAAATTTGAAAGATCAAAAATTAAATATCGCAAGTACAGAAAGATTTCAAATTGGTGCAAATAATAAAAAAGCAGTTATCTTTTCTCTTCCAGTAACTTCCAACACTAATTAGTGGTTACTTGCAGCCTTGTTAGAAGCAAAGATGTTTAAAAAATATATCTCTAAATATTTTAGTGATCTAAATAACTCTAAATATTTTAGTGATCTAAATAACTCTAAATATATAGATCTAAATAATTAAGCAATCAAAAATTCAAACATTCACTATTGTTATATAATTATAAATATTTTTTTTTTTAATTTAACATTCAAAGAATAGCAAAAAGTTTAAAAAAAGACACTTTATAAAATGATTTTATATTTTTCATTTTTTTCATTTTCTCTATGAGATTTGCTATGTTAGCACCTTTTTATGGTCGCTTTTAGGTATAACTTCATGATTTGAATAGTTTTGTGATTTTGGCCCAGATTCTGCTGTAAATATTAGATAATCTTCCATGGTTGAAACAACAAAAAATCTTCATCAGTGTTGTAGTTGATGGAATGTACTAATGTAGACTTTTTTTTCAATTTTTCCGTTCATATTAATAACTTTTATTTCTTTAATTTTAGTGTTTAGAGTTTATGATGCTGCTGATATTTTTTGTAATTTTTTTTTTGCCATGAAATTTTTTTTTATAATTATCATTTATTAGTCTTTTACAGTTCCATAGTCTATTAATACGTTCCATAGTCTATTAATACATAGTCCATTAAACTGTTGCCAATGCAGCTGTTGCAACATCACTTATTTCAAACCTTAACCTCTTTTAGCCAAATTTTTAGCCAAAAGAGGTTAAGGTTTGAAATAAGTGATGTTGCAACAGCTGCATTGGCAACAGTTTAATGGACTATGTATTAATAGACTATGGAACGTATTAATAGACTATGGAACTGTAAAAGACTGTAATAAATGATAATTATAAAAAAAAATTTCATGGCAAAAAAAAAATTACAAAAAATATCAGCAGCATCATAAACTCTAAACACTAAAATTAAAGAAATAAAAGTTATTAATATGAACGGAAAAATTGAAAAAAAAGTCTACATTAGTACATTCCATCAACTACAACACTGATGAAGATTTTTTGTTGTTTCAACCATGGAAGATTATCTAATATTTACAGCAGAATCTGGGCCAAAATCACAAAACTATTCAAATCATGAAGTTATACCTAAAAGCGACCATAAAAAGGTGCTAACATAGCAAATCTCATAGAGAAAATGAAAAAAATGAAAAATATAAAATCATTTTATAAAGTGTCTTTTTTTAAACTTTTTGCTATTCTTTGAATGTTAAATTAAAAAAAAAAATATTTATAATTATATAACAATAGTGAATGTTTGAATTTTTGATTGCTTAATTATTTAGATCTATATATTTAGAGTTATTTAGATCACTAAAATATTTAGAGTTATTTAGATCACTAAAATATTTAGAGATATATTTTTTAAACATCTTTGCTTCTAACAAGGCTGCAAGTAACCACTAATTAGTGTTGGAAGTTACTGGAAGAGAAAAGATGAAGATTGTAGAGAAAGATAACGATTGACAGACAACTTAAAAGATTGCAAATTATATGAATCAGGAAAGCAAGATGAATGAAGCGAATTCTAAAGAACTGATGTTTGAGAAAAAAAAAATCATTCTGTTACTGTTTCTAAGTGCTCCAAAAACTCTTATTTGAGGACAAATAAGAGTTTTTGGAGCACTTAGAAACAGTAACAGAAAAAGGATGAGACTTAATTGAATGATGAGTAACACGAGAGTGAATTTTAGTAGATGGTACATCAGATACTAGCTCTTTAGAGCAGTATCTGTATACTCAATTTAGAGCAATATCTGTATACTCATATGAGTATTTGTAGAAAAGAGTAAGAGAAGCAACATTATGACAATGTGATAATAGTTGAAGGTTGGCGGCAAGAGCAGGTCCAACTATGTTTACAATGTGTTTTTGCACCTTGTCTAAAAGAGAAAGGGCATCATTAGAAGATCTGCCCCAGATATGGCAACAGTATTCCATACAAGGCTGGATTTAAGATTTATAGAGATAGAGAATAGAATCCAAAGTAAGAGAGTGTTAAGCGCGATAAAGAGAAGTAGCTTTCGCAGATGCTAATTTTGCAACAGATTAGATACATGGTTTCCAAGAAAGATCAGAAGTAAGAGTTAACCCTAAAAGATGAAGGGTAGATGACTCATCAAGTACATTATTTTTCATAAATATAGGAAGGTCTAAATTATTGCGATAACAATTAGCTGAAAAAAATTGAGTTTTATCTGAATTAAAGTTCACCAGCCACTGTGAGCCCCATGATGTAGCAGAAGTGAGATCCTTTTCAAGCTCAAATGCCCCCTCCAAGCAATCAGAGAGAGTTGGCTTCTTATCATGATAAGTGGTAGTATCATCAAAGAACAATGCCACCTTAGATGTGAGAATATCTGGAAGACCATTAATGTAAATTAAAAAGAGTATAGGGCCAAGGATTGAACCTTGCGAACCCCTGAGGTTACAGAATAAGAAGAAGAGTGCTGTCCATCAAGGACAACTTTTATACAACGATTGGAAAGGAAGGATTCAATAATCTTAAAGATGTTTCCAGATACTAGCATGCCAAATATTATCAAACGTTTTAGAAATGTCAAAAGCGATGGACTTAACCACTCAACCTTTATCTAATGCACGATAACTTATTGGTTATAACTTTTAGCAAATTAGCCGTTGAACGAGAAGATCAAAATCCATATTGATGATCAGAAAGTAAGTTATTAGATTCAAGATGAGAGATTGAGTGTTTGTTAATTAAAGATTCAAAAACCTTGCTTAAGATAGGAAGAAAACTAATAGGACGGTAGTTAGATGAATCAGACCGCTCTCCAGAAATTTTAAAAATAGGGATGCTAAAAACAGATGCTGCTTTCCAGCAGGCTGGAAAACAAGACTCTGATAAGCAATTGTTGCATAGTTTTAAAAGTATAGATAACAGCTCCAGAGAATACTTCTGCACTATATAGACTATAACAGGTATGTTGTCCGGGCCACAAGCTGTAGAAGAGTCTAAGCAGTAAATTACTTTAAATACAGAAGCTGGAGTGATACAAATGTCAAGCAATGGATCAACATGTTTGATGGCTATATCAGGTAGAACGCAACTAGCGGAATCAAGAGATGATATTGATGAATAGTGCAATTATTCAATCCAATTTTCCAAAACAAGTATAAACAAGAACAAATTCCAGGGTGACTATTTGATTTTGAAAAAAACTATAATAAAAAATAAATTCTCAAGGCATTGGCCTAATGAACATATGAAAATAAAGAAGTCACCATATATAAATTATGTTTAGGTACTTTGTATAGGCTTATCAAAGTTTAATCATTCTTTTCTTTGAGGTAACGCCCTCATAATACTCAAGCGTTGTTTTTTATGACAAAAAGTTTTCATTACAGCTTCCATTAAATTTCTTAGAACTGTTTGTTAGGTTCTGTTAAAATACACCTGATTTGAACTTTACCCAATAGTTATTAAAATAAAAACAAAAAAATTTTCTTATTTAAAACTAATGAAACACATTGTTCTTTGAAATTTCAGACAGGTAGTCTCACTTGGTAAGAAAAGGTTTAAACCAACACGACCATAAGCAACTATTGCACCTTGATCATAACTGCTAGACATTGCCTAACAGAAGTTAACAAGGGATTGCTTGACAGATATTACTTAACAGAAATTTATCAAGGAATTTATTGAAGAGTGAGTTCGTTGACTGACAAATATTGACTTTGCGTGCTTCAAACTTGTGCTTTGTCTATCACATCACCATATTTTACCAACCCTTGTATTCTTTTTAAAACTTAAAATGATCACAAATATTCTTTCGAGAAGAACGTGACTTTAAAGCAGCACTGTACAATTAGATAATAAAGTTTTTGGCGCCTTTGAACTGTGTCGGCACTAACATTTACATATGAAGATAAGTAAGAACTTGTTAACTTAAAATCCAAATGACCTTAACAGCCAAAAAGCATGTTGTTGGTTATTTGTAAGTAATTGTCTATAACAATTATGAGCGCTAGAATCATTTTGCCATAACTGTAAGTTGTTTATTCAAAATATGATTCTGCAAAGTTTAATTTTAAAAAATTTTATGTTAAAAATGTGACCAGCTTATAGACAAGATAACAAAAACATAAAATGAATTAAACATAAAATGAATTAAACATAAAATGAATTAAACATAAAATGAATTAAAAGAATATATTACAAAAAAAGAAAAAAAAAAGAAAGTTAATTTTGTTTAAAATAATTTTTCTAATTAAAAAAACTTTGTTCTATTGTAAGTAGTAGTAATAAAAATATTTATTACAACTACTAATAAATATTTTTTGTTATTAAAATTAAAAAAAATTAAAATCATAACTTTGATAATAAACAATACCTTCTTGTATCGGCAGATGTCTGATCATCAGAAAAGATAAAAACAGCATCCTCAAAATCTTCAGTAACTTTCCCCCCAAAGGTTTCTAAAATATATATATATATATATATATATATATATATATATATATATATATATATATATATATATATATATATATATATATATATATATATATATATATACATATATATACATATATATATATATATATATATATATTTATATACATATATATAAATACATATATATATATATATATATACATATATATATATATATATATATATATATATATATATTATATATATATATATATATATATATATATATATATATATATATATATATATATATATATATATCTATGTATGTATGTATGTATGTATGTATGTATGTATGTATGTATGTATGTATGTATGTATGTATGTGTATGTATGTACATATATATATGTGTGTGTGTGTATATATATATATATATATATATATATATATATACTGTGTGTATATATATATATATATATATATATATATATATATATATATATATATATATATATATATATATATATATATATATATATATATATATGTATATATATATATATATATATATATATATATATATATATATATATATATATATATATATATATATATATATATATATATATATATATATATATATATATATATGTATGTATATATGTATGTGCATATGTATAAAATTGTCTAAAAATAAATATTAAGTTTAGTGAATTATAAATAAGATTTTATTTTATTTGGAGCAGTAATATTCAAACTTAAAGGTTTAAAAGTTATCTAACATTTTAGTCATCTGCGATTGACCTTAATGTATGTAAATTCGCACATTTTTGCTTTTCCTTTTCCTAAAAGAAGCCAAATTTTGTTCCAAATAATGCCAAACTGGGAAAAAATTGTTAATGGACTAGCTGGAAAATGTGCAACTGTCATTAAAACCTTGCAAAACTTGCAGGCAATTTAAAAACTTTTCCTTTATTTCCATAATTCTCCACCAATTTGTTTCTGATTTTGTGCTTTTTACACTGCCATTGAATATATATAAATAATAGTTTAAATGCTTAGTAGCCTGGCGAAAATTCAGGATAGACTTCATTCAACCATTCCTCAGCTTCTTTTTCTTTACTTCTATACAATATTCTTTTTAAATGAAACAAGCTTATGAAAAAGAAAAGCAGCTAAACTTTGTCGAAAGTTTTAGATATATCAATAACGATAGCTCTAGGCTCTTTTTCTTTACTTCTATACAATATTATTTTGAAATGAAACAAGCTTATGGAAAAGAAAAGCAGCTAAACTTTGTCGAAAGTTTTAGATATATCAATAACAATAGCTCTAGCCTCTCCACCCAATCTAATGCTCGATAAAATCTTTCAGTCAAAACAGTTAGCAAGTCAGCCATAGAGCGAGAGGATCGAAAATGGTATTGATTGTAAGACAGTATTGATTGTAAGACGGTATTGATTGATGACAGTAAGTTATTTGACTCAAGATGGGATGTGAGAAATTTGATTATCAAAGACTCAAAGACCTTGCTAATAACAGAAAGAAGACTGATCACACAATAATTGAAGTGGTCAGAATGTTCTAAAAAGTTTTTAAAAATTGGAACCAGAGATGAAATTTTTCAACAGGCAGGAGAGATTCAGTTGAGCACATAATAAATAGTTTAAAAAAAATTGAAGAAAATTCTGGAGATCACTTTTTTTAGACTATGAAAGAAATGTTGTCTGGACCACAAGCCGTAGAAGAGATATGACATTAACAACAGAAGCTGAATGTCTGTTTAACTGGAATGGAAAGAATGGTATGGCCATTAGATTGAAGAGTCAAATTTAAAGAAAAATTTTTTGCAAATAGTTCAGCCTTATCCTTGGAAGAGATAATAAGATCAGTTTCATGAATGAGAGATCAACATGCTAGACATGCCTTTGTTAATGACGTTTTTGAAGATTTTCCTAAAGTCTCTGGAGCTGATGTGAAGTAATAAAAGCTTCCATTACTGCCTAGATCCAGGAGATTACGTAGGAGGTGCATTTATCACCAAAGTGAGAAAAGATATCAGCCTAAGGACCCTCAGGTAGCAAATCACAAAAAGAATCCTAATCAGCTTTATGATAGTAGTAAGTAGTGCAACAATTCCAAATAAAAAATACAAGATAAAAGATTTATAGAATATATAAAAAATTTATAGAAATCATTGCATAGTCGGAACCACCAAAAGCAGAATATCACATACTAGGGTCAGAGACAAAATATAAATCAAGGAGTGAAGGTAAGTAATTAGGGTTGTCTGGAAAATAAGTCACAAAGTCAACTATCTGAGTAAGAGATTAAGAAATACAAAAGATATGGGCTTTAATACCACCAGGGTCAGTGATGTTAGAGCCAAGCCATTAAGTGTGATGAGCATTAAGGTCAACAATATTGGCAAAGAGTAAAGAGGCAGAGCATGGACAATTTAATCAGATATTACTAAAAAGAAAGAGTGCAACCTAGAGAAAAAGAAGAGTGAAAAAGAACAAAATAAAAGGTGCTAGAGTAAAAAGGCAAACAGAAGCACAAAAAAGAATAATCAAAGGATTTAATTTTGATTTCTAGATGAATAAGCAATTTAACAAGTTGATTGCAGTCTTTGCGAATCAAAGGATAGTGCCTCAATACTGAGAACTGAACCCTCATGAGAGCTGTTCCTTTAGGGAAGAGGAAAAAAAAAGGACATAAAGAAAGTTAATAATAGAAAGTTGCATAGCCACTATTAAGGAGGCCCAAACAAAAATCTATTAGTATAGTTAAGAAGATCCAGCATTCATTATCCTAAGCAGAAAACAATGTAACACAATTTTACATCTACGCCAGCCTTATAGATAAAGTAAGGCTGCTGGTCATTATAATTGTTGTGTTTACTCCTAAAACATTTGCTTAAGAGGCCTTCTACAAGACAGTAGCTGGATGCAGATAACATCTGCCTAAGATGAATATTTTTAATGAAACACCATCTCTAGCCTTTACTTAACCAAGAGCCTTAAGGCAGGGAAACTTTAGCCAGGGTGGCTACTCAAATTTGAAAATGAAATTCCATGACTTTTCCATGATTCTTTATAAACTTTTAAGAAACCACTAACAAGTAAATTATTCAGTACTTGCCATGCACTAAGCATTTGGTAGAAAGTTCTAAAATCATGTCTGAAAAAAACTCTTTTTCTTTTGCTTCTCTGATTATCTATAACTTACACTGCAAAAATATCTTTTCCAAAATCAATATAGAGTAGACATACTAGTACTTTTCTTTGCATCCTAAAAAAATCACAAGCAGAAAAAAGTAAAGATCATTTTTAAAAGTTTTATGAATTCTCCAATGGCACACTCAATCCAACTTTCAATGAAAATTTAGCCTTTTATTAATCAAAAGCCCCAAGATGATTTTTATGTTGGAGTTAATTTCTCTTAGCTTTTTCCTAAAAAAAATAACCCTAGAAGGCATGTTAAGCATTTAAGCATGAGGATCATAATACTGGGTTTTATGAAATCAACAGCTGTGCAATCATGATGATCTTGAATCTGACCCAGAGTAACTAAAAGATGTTGAAACCCACATCATTATATGACCATGCCAATAATACTTTGCTTTAATGATTTGATCATGGCTGTTATCATCTTTTACAAATCAAACATTAAAGAAATGCGCTGAAAAAACCTTTCTAGACTAACTGTAAAAAAAAAAAAAAAAAAAAAAAATTTTTTTTTTTGTTTTTTTACAGTCTAGACTGTTTTTTTACAGTCTAGATAATACAACACTTTTGAACTAAAATGCTTTCAAAACTTAGGCAAGTTAAGCAAATGAGACCAATATAGACAGGCAAAAAGGGGTATACTAGTATGGTTTTAAAGACTACTATTTTTCTAGTTTAGTTAATTTTTTTTTGCCAATTCTTTTTACTATGAAAACATTACTAAAAAAAAGTAATGTTTTCATAGTAAAGTAGGTCACGCAATATTTGTCTTTTGAATAGAAGCATGATTATTTGCTCTTTTGCGCGGAGATTTTATTCAACATAAAGCACTCATTAATTTAAATTTCTTTAAATCTCTGCGTAGAAGCAAGTTAAAAAGAAAAAAGTTAAAAAGAATTTTTTCTTCATTCTATTTTTATTTAACAAAACAGCATTTTTATCTTTTTTTAAAAGACATGTTGCTCCAAATTAACTTATTAATAATGATTTAAATTATTATTTTATAAACAATTTTATATAATTATTTTTACTACTATAAGTATAATAAAATATATATAAATTCGTTTTTATTAAATAAAATTTCTATTAGTAAAATTTGCTAATAGAAACCAGAAACTTTTTTGCTTTCACGTTTTTCGCTTTAATGACCTTGAAACTATTGAAGTTATATTTAGTTAACTTTACTGAATGGATAGTGCATATCACAGTAAATTAACTTATAACCTAAATCAAAACAACCAGTTGAGTTAAGTTACAGTTACTCAAGTAATAATTTAACAATTATATTAATTTATTTAATATACTCGCAAAAGTTAGCCATAAACATGTTTCAATTTAGATCTTACATGTTGTTAACACATATAAGCTTTTAACTAATAATTATTTTAACAAAAATTGTTGAATAGAATATAAAAAATGCAACACCATTTTTTTATATTTTCATTTTATTTATAGCGACATCTAGACTAAACATTTTCTATAAATACGCAAGTTGTTTTCAGGAATTTTATTTAAAAAGAAATCAATTTAAACAAGAGAACTTAAAATTTACTTATTCAAATAATTTTGTGATTGAAATTTAAAATTAAAAAAAAAAAATTTAATTTAAAAAAAATGTGATGAAACAAGGGAGAATGAAGAAAGTTCTTTTTTCTTAAATCATAAATTTTGTTAACGTTTTGAATTATATATTTTTTCTTGAAAATAGTTTTAAAAGTAGAAACATTTTATTGCAAACATCCAAGAAGTGATTGCAAATTGCAAGTTAAAATAAAAATTATAAAAACTTTAAATTAAATTTAATAAATTA